CTCGGGCCCAGCGTTGGCCGAGCCGCCCCAGCTGCCCACCGATCCCTGTGGCACGGGCAGGCCGGGCGCAGCGTGCCGTCTACCTGCTCCTGGTGCTGGGCGCCGCCGCGCTGTACCTCACCGGGCAGCCCCTTGTGCCCGTCGCCCGCTCCCTCACCCTCCACTTTGCGGCCCTGCAGATCGGGGCACTGCTCAAGGGCACCTGCTACCTGGCAGAGGAGATCTTCCACCTCCAGTCCAGGTGAGCCAGCGTGGGGGTGGCCGTTACTCCAGCCCCTGGGACCACCCTGGGGACAAGGGCATAGCAGCCTCTGGGTGTTGTGGGGGGCTCTGCCCCTTGTCCCTACTCCCATGTGTGTCCTCTGAGGCAACGCTCTGCTGTGCCCTGGCAGCAAGCACTGCTCTCCTTCAGCCTCCTGGCTTTCTCTCTCACCGCCTCCTCCCTCACCTCCTCTTCCCCTCTCCTGCCTGCACAGGTCCCCTGAATGTCTATGGACCCCTCCCTCCCCTCTCTGTGGCAGCTACTTAGCATGCCCTTTCCCTGGGAAACAGATCCTGGCTGCCAGCCTTTCCCCACTACCCAGTGCCAGAGGGCACATGGCTGCTGGAGATCATCTCCCTTTGTTGTCCAAGGTGACATTGCATCTGCTCCCTCCTGCAACCCACAGGTGCTGCAAGAGTCCCAAGGCCTCTCCTGGCTTGGGGCACCTGGGGTGTGCTGAGCAGGGTCCCACAGGGCTCCCTGGCTCTGTGCTGCTCTAGAAGGTCAGTGGCACTGGCAGGGAGGGGGGAGCGGGAGCATCCCCTAGCCAGTGCCCCATGGGCTGCAGTTGGCAGGTGGGTGACCACCAGCCTGTCTCCTGTCCCCATCTCCCACCCAGGCACCGTGGCAGCTTCTGGAGGGCCCTGAGCGCCTGCTTCCCTCTATGCTGGCACGGGCCCATGCTCCTCATCTGTGGCTCAGCCTACATGGCTCTTCTGGATGAAGATGGGCAGCCACTCAGCCTCCACCTCATCCTGGCCAGCCTGTGCCAGCTCCTCAACCTCGCTCTGGGACTCCACGTAAGGCACCAACAACTCCAGCCTGGCTGGCTACCCGGGCAGCCCTTTGGCCCCGAGCAGTCGGTGGGCTCGTGGCTGGGCTCTGCGTGGCCCCTGCATGTACAGCCCTGCAGTGGGAGAAACCAGCTCAGCCCTGAAGATCTGGTCTCCTCCACGCTGGCACATGTGTCAGCAGGACCAGGCTGCCTTCTCAAGAGCGCAGCCAGCCCAGAGTGCTGGGAGCAGACCCGCTGACACAGAAAACGTGTGGTTTTCAATCTGTCAAGCTGGTGCTTGAGGGGAAAAGGCAGTCAGGTGGTCTCCAAAGGGTTAATTGTCAGGTGTGGTCTGGGTGGCAGAGCCACGCTCTGGGGACCTCTGGAGCGCTGGTGCTTTGGGGAGGGCAGCCAGTGGCCCTGGAAATCCCATCGTCAAGTGCTGGGATGTTTCCTCGTGCCTGCTGGAAGCACTGGGTAGATGCACAAGTTGCACTGGGACATGCAATCCCAACGGAGGGTGCAGCCAGAAAAGCACCCTGCTGGTCCCAGCATCAGCTTCCTCACCTGCAGGGGCCGTGGGGGCTGGCAAGGCTCTTGGCCACGCTGCCCAGTGTGGTGGTGGACGAGGGCAATGGGGGCTGCTTGCTCTCCAGGTCTCTTTTAGGGGCTGCTCTCCAGTTCTTGCAGAGAACCAACTGTTGCAGAAGAGCCCAGGTGGCTGCTTCCATCACTGCCGGTCTCTCTGTCCTTCCCTCCACAGAAGCCCTCAACAGTGGAGATGTCTGAGATGTCTGAGAGGTCCAAGCAGAACATCGCTCATGGACTTGCCTGGTCTTATTACATTGGGTACCTAAAAATAGTCCTGCCACGTACGTAGCTTTTTTCCTGCATTATCATGGCTACAGATAGAAACAGCTCCCAGTCCTCCCACTTTTTTGGTGTAGCAGGGAAATGGGGAGCAAGGTAGAAAACAGCTGTACTCACACCAGGCTCCTCTGCCCCATGCTCTCTGCCACCAGGGGTGAAGAAGTCGATGGAGGAATTCAGCAGAGCCAACCCCAATGTGCTGGCATACAGGGAGACCTGGAAGCTCCACATCTTGATCCCTCTGAACTGTGACATCTGTGATGACCTGGAGAAAGCTGACAGCAATATCCAGTACCTGACAGACCTCACTGAAACCACCCTGAGCCGAGCTGGCATTAAGAAAAGGGTCTACAAACACAGCCTCTACAGAATCAGGGATGAAGACAACCAGGTATGCTGAGTGCAGCACCAGGAACAAGAACATGTGCATCAGACCAAAGGTCTTCCTGGCCTCAGATCCTGGTGCAGAAGTGGCCATGAGGACAGGACAGTGTCTCCTCTCCTGAGAGATACTTCCAGCTTTCAGCCGGAGATGGAGAGGTCCTGTTTGTGCCAGCCGTCTTCACCCTTTCTTCCCGGCTGCCTCCTCCCAGACAGGGAGCCAGATCCCTTGCAGGGATCTTTGGCTCGCTTAACCCTTCCTGGAATCACAAAATCATTAAGGTTGGAAATGACCTCCAAGATCAAGTCCAACCATCAACCAAACACTCCCATGACCACTAAACCATGTTGCCAAGTGGCACATCCACATGGAGGTTGAACCCCTCCAGGGACAGGGACTCCGCCACCTCTCTGGGCAGCCTGGGCCAAAGCCTCACTACTCTGCCAGGAAAGAAATTTTTCTTAATATCCATTTGAAACTTCCCCTGGTGCAGCTTCAGCACCAACCCCCATCTCACTCCAACCTCCTTTCAGGGAGTTGGAGAGAGCAACAAGGTCTCCCCTCAGCCTCCTCTTCTCTAGAATAAACACCCCCAGGTCCCTCAGCTGCTCCTCACAAGCCATGTTCCCCAGACCCCTCACCAGCTTCGTTGCCCTTCTCTGGACCCACTCCAGCCCCTCAAGGTCTTTCTTGTCCTGTGGTGCCCAAAACTGAACTCAGTGCTCAAGCTGTGGCCTCCCCAGTGCTGAGTCCAAGGGCACCATCACTGCCTTGCTCCTGCTGGACACACTAGTGCTGATCCAGGCCAGGATGCTGGTGGCCTTCTT